CATAGTTTATAATGAAATGCGTAGGCTTGAATGGGTAATGTGTTATGGAACTTTAAAAAAAAAACTAGCTAGTTTTTATAGCTATTTTCACTTTAAGAGAAAGAAAAAAAAATAATTTGTTCTTTTTCCAAAACTAAAATAGATTTTGCACGCATTTGAGATACTTACCGATATATGAACACTAATGAGACTCGAATATAAGCTGATTAACTTTAATTAACATTTCGGTTAATTTCCCGAAAGTATTGACTTGTTGCAATATAACAAGAATTTAATGTTGATCTTAAAAATTAATTGATTTCCATAAATAATATTTGGTCAATTTTCCATTACCAGTGCTACACTGAAAAATATTTTAAACGAAAAATGCTTAAAAAATCAACAGTTCCTGGCACTCCGAAATCGAATACGGGCGATATTTTGATTTTTCATTTCGAATGCCGCCATAACTTCGAGGAAATTATGTTAAAATATATTTGTGGATAGCATACCAAATCTTCTTTAGAGGAAAATCAAGAATAGAATAGAGTTTAAAAAAAGTAATATATTTTATGTAAATTTATATAATGGTAATTTTTAAATTTCCAAAATTTGATATAAATATAAGTAACAAAACATATAATCATTTACATAATAATAATATTCTTTTGATGGCGGAGCTTGATGGCGCAGTGATTAACGCGCTCGATCTGCAATATGGTTGTTAGGCAACTTTGCAATGGCCGGTCATAGGATGGGTGATCAAAAATTTATTATCTCGAGCTCTTTCGTGCTTAGCTATAGGTCCCAGCCGCATCTGCAGTCGTTAATACCCACCAATTTGCCTTGACCCGCGTGGTGGATCATATTCCATTCTGCCTATTCGATTTTATTCGTTTCCATCCATAGTGAAGGCCTGAAACCCAGTAGTCCCCAACACTAAAAGGCAAATACCCGTGTATATAATCCCATAATACTAAGAAACAAATAAAAAGAAAAATAAAAATAGATAGAATAGGAAACGGAGATCCCGGCCGTAAAGGAATGAAAGAGGAAGAATAACAGAAAGAACATGTATGAGGAATGAAAGACAGAACACAAGCGAGAACTGGAATGGAAGAGACACATAGAACAATAAGGGCCTGCTACAAAGTGGGGATAAGATAGGAAGCTCGGCCATATATTGTAAGGCCGGGCAAAAAAAAAATCACTAAAAGGCTGATGATAATAATATGATGAATATTTTTTTTAATTAAACATCATTAACTTGGAAAAAAATATTTGACAATAATAGAATTTCACTTGCAATTTCTAAAACTGTATAAAGTAATCTGATAAAATCGTTGAGTATTAATATAATAGATAGTCTTATATTATAGTACGTAAACGTGACATATGACTAAAAGCCGCCTTACAAGGCTCTATTAATTACTTGTTTAGTGACCCGTGACAAGCAACAGCTCCGTTCTCACAATATATCACCCGTTTTAATGTGTCACAATTTTAAGACTGTAGTGACAACCTTACGCAAAGAATGATTAACATAGTCACCATTATGAGGTTTCGGTAAACAAAATTATTACTTTGATGTCATTATAACCAAATTATGGCGTTAATAATTCAAAATTTTAACTACCAACTAGTTATACTTGTGTTAGATCCTACATCTAATTTGGTTTTCACAACTTTTTATGAGAATAATATTTATCGTATTTAAATTATATTTTATTTATTTTTATCATATGCATATAACTTAATACCGTCTAACGATCTTTGTCACTGGGCGATGTGTAAAAAGCACCGTCTAAGGATTCCCGCTGTTTTAAAAGCCAGAGTACAGTTAGACTCAAAATATCGACTACCATGGGCATCACTATTTATCGATTGCATTACGGGAGTCACTATTTGCTAGTGAGATGTCACTGTCACTTTGACATTGACGTATGATGAGATTCGCGCTAATATTCCGCTATAGAATAGATTGTTGTAAAACTATTGGAATGTGTACATTGTTATTTTAAATAAATCGATTGAAAAGAGAAAATGTCTTTACCAGTACCCGTTTAAAAATCAAACTGTAATACGGTTATATTTGAATAAAAGTAATAATATTTTGTCACTGATCAATCGACCTACAAACAAATCGTCTTCTAAGATGTCTATTTATGCTTCATAACTTTTTAACTTATCAAATTTAATGAAACTGAAACTTTCTTTAATCTTTATAAATACGGAATATTTTTAACCATTGTCGTATTCATTTATACTGTAATACAGTAAAAGTCAAAACAGCAATCTATTCAGATGCATTATCTCGGACTATGCGTAGGCGATTCGTCTCAAACGACCCTAAAGGTCAGACGCGGAAGCGAGGGTCTGCGCCTGCGACACATCTCTACGTGCCTCGCCTTGGATGGAAATAGAAACCGGAAAAACAATTCTATTATGTATATCACGTCAACCATTTAAACGTGATGAAGTTTTATAAATGCCCGTGACGTCATCACACAAAAGAAAAAGTGTTAAACTCTTTTTTAAATGAACATAATATAAACACAAAAGTACACAAAAAGGAAAAGAAGAAAGTATAAAAAACGACATGATGAGTTTTTTTTTTTGTGACTAACGTGTCTGTAGAAAAGGTTTTATCATTACTTAAATCCCCGTGAATAAATACTAGACATAATAAGTATGTACTGTTTCATAAATATAATAATTTGATTTTGCAAATGAAACTAACAGTGCTGATCTGGACGATTTAGCAGAATGCGTAAAAAGTGCCGTTAATTAAACATGTCTCCTTAAGTCCTTAGTCTGGTCCCGCCAAAAATTTAAAAAAAAATGTGTTAGTGGGATTTTTTTAGATTTTTTTCTCGTTACTTTAAATGGTTACTGTAACTTATTCAAATCTAATAAAATCTCTTTTTTGTTATAGGAAAACTACCCTGTTTGCAATGAGTCAGTTTAGTCCCTTGTATATCAATACAATTCTTTTTTAAAGCACCTTTATTAAAATAACATATTATGCTATAGAGTGATGAAATCTGAAATGCAACACATTAAACGCTACACTTCTAAACATCTATGATCTGTTAATAAATAGTCAACGATTCAAGCGACCGACTTGCAATAATTTCAACCGACAAAAGGCATTTAACTCTAGATACCGCGCGAGAAAACGCGCACAATCGCTAGCATATAAACTGGTGTGTATTTTAAAGAGATGGCGTCGCGATTGGTAGAAAGTGTATCGCGAGACGCGGCCATCAAACGAGCCGACACTGCCTGTTGCGCGATTATATCTAGGTAATGTCAGGATGCTTCCGAGGTCGTTGAGGTCTTATGTCTCGTCGTTTTTGGACATCATATGCGTGTGTTACAAAAAAGATTACATGCGTCGGAATTTTTTGGCAATGCTTTTTTGAGTTCCGTTCGATTTTTAAATGTGAATGTATTATGAATAACCGATTTATCCACCGGCATTATAGCTAAAAAAACTGAATATCGATTTATTTACATGTCAAAATTATTATAATTTTGAATAGTAACATCAACATCTAATAGGTTATATCTTTAGCCAGTATTTAAAATAAATTATACAATGATTGGTATGTTGTTATTTTTATCTTCAGGTGATTTACCTTTTTATTAACATTGTATTAGATTATAAAAATGTAAATCATTTAACGCGGGAATACAAACAATATCTTATCAGTGAACCCTACATACAGATAAAACATTACTCGTGGTCAAGTTGTATGGACTAGATTCCCTTTGTCTTTATCTTAAAAAGAATATTTACTCCAGCTTCATATACTGAACCCTTCCGCATAAACTTGACAAATATTTTTATTTTCACATACATATGTCACATTTTATGTTGACAATGTTGATAGTCGGATTCTTAACATCACAGAGTGGGTTTGTGGTGCCATTCTTGGTTTTATTAATTGCGGCAAATTTAACGACGCCAGCGACGACACCAAGTGTAATACAAAATTTATTCCGTGGTTTCACTTTAAAAGGTCAGTAGTATTTTCAAGTGACTAACAACAAACTCTTATTTTTTTAATGTTGTTTATCGCAAACAATATGTTCTTATATTTTCTGTAAATATCAAAAATTGCTTTTAATGATAGACAAAACATCACCTTCGACATGAAAGACTGACATCATTTCGTTCCTAAATAGTGTTGACGACATTTTACATGTTTTATTTTTTTGTGGGATTTACGATATAAACAAAAGAGATTTCATTTTTCTATTATTTTTTTTAGAAGTAAACTAAAATCTATTAGACCTTTTTTTCACCAATATAAAATTAAATTGTCAGCAACTGTAATGTGGTAGAATTAAAGCCCTTCTGCTGTTCCTCGAGCTGAAACAAATAGGTCGATTCTGAAAGCGAAAGACGACGATGGTCGTACAGGTAAAGTAAAGAAGAACGTCGAAGTTGTTGACAGGAAAAAACAAGAGGGATAGTTGTAAAGAGATAAAAATGTTGCACGCCTGTGTAAACTGCTTGCATGCAGCTGCCTTGGTGCGTTATACCTCAGTACAGCATGTAATGATTGCTGATTTCATAGCCTGCAACGAACTAATTATTAATATAGCGGCTAGTTTTCCGATCAATTAATAAATTCTGAGATGAGTAGCTCAGGCACTGAATTAATTAAGGTATTAATTCACCCAAACCCGATAGATTATCGAAAACTTTTCTATATTTTCTATATTGAACGGTAAGCGTAAGTTTAACTTTAACGCAATCACTAGTGTAGTGAGCGCATTATGTCTTTATATTGTAGTTCTTGATAGTTATCGCTAGGGGCGCTGTACCGTATTCCATATTAAAATCTTATCGCATTCGGAATCGACAGTGAACATAAACGTCAAAAAAACTTACACCAAACTCTCTTACCTTAGAAATAACAGCGCTGACACCGGAGTGCAAGCTACTTGGCTACGCAGGAGGAAAATTATTTTACTTTTGTATCTAAAGAGCTTTTTTCCTATTGCGACAGGTGAAGGCGGCGGGGGTGGGGGCGCGGCGCGGCGGTGCGCGCGCGATGCTGCGGCGTCGCCGGCGCACGCGCACGCGCCGACGCCGACGCCAGCGCCGCCCGCGCAACTGCAACAACACGTCAAGAGCGAGAGGCTCAGCCCACACGACTCTACTGCTTCCAGGTAAATAATTCGAAACTGCCATACGGTGCAACATTGTGGTCCATATACAAGAGGCTTAATAGCTGAATCAATCCAGTAAGCCAGTTCAGGTTTAGCCTCGTGTAAATAGAGACAATCCTCAAGCAAGTAACCAAGTCAGATCAGCGAATTTGGACGGTTTCTAAATTGGCTGGATTACCGGATTGACTCTGCTAACGGCGTGTGAATGATCCGATACTTTTGCCCAATATTCGTAATTGCACAACGTAGGTGAAGATACAACATTGCTCATATTTTTAGTACCAGAATTTCCCAATGATATTCTTCTAGGTGCTTTTATGAATATTTTGACATGAAATAATTTTGTCATAAAGTAAAAACTACAGGGAAATTAAAATATATATTAAAAAACACTGGAAATTTAAAGCAAACATAAAAGGTATCTTTAAGGCCACTTTGACGATATAGTACAAGAGCTTGTTGCAAAAATGTGCAACAGTTTTGTAACGGTTGATACTTCAAAAACATGTAGAAGTAATGGTGGCTCGCTACGAAATAAATACGGAAAATGATAACACGCATTTTCGCTAAAGGTAGCGCTGAATAAGAGTTTCTGAATGACTCAAAATTAATTATATACTCAATTATCACATGTAAGTTAAGAATACTCACATTTTGTTTATTACAACAAACACTTTCAACGATCATTAAAATTTTGATTCACTCTGCCGCCACCAGTCTGGTGGTTGTTAAAAAGAAGTCTCCACACTAGGTACTGATTGAAATACCCTTAGTAGGTACTACTTTAGCATAATGAATTTTTAGAGGTATAAATGTGTGACAGTTAAGTTGAACCACGATAGTGAATTTTCGCGCAAGTACAGTCATGGAGTATACTGCGTTGCTATAGTTAGACGCGTCTCACCCCGGCACCTCAATTGGGTTCTGAAAATTTACGCGCATAGTTGAACTTATGTGCCGCGATCCATAAAATAATTCTTGCACATTTTTGTGACGTGCTCTCCGTCTATTATCCCTCAAAGATCCCGCAGCGTGACGCCGTCGACATCGTCATACCCGGGCACGCCGCCCGAGCGCGGCAGCCCGCACGCCCCGCCACAGCCTGCGCCCGCGCACCCTCCACGCAACTACTCAGACATAATGCGCTCACTAGCCGCACGGTACAATTCCCATCCTAACAACGAGTAAGTATCTTACCAGCACCAAGGCCTTATTTTTCATATATCGCGTCATCATCATCATCGACCCTTTTACGTAAACATTGCTCAGGCATTCCTTATGGATGGTTAAGGAGGATGGGCATGACCCTCTATACTGATCCAATACGGACTTAAACATCTACAAATGCAGCTGGGACTAACTTCTTAACATGCCTTCCGATGCACGAAGTCCCTCTTAATAATAATTTTCGGATTTTGTTTGGTTTGGTATAATTTAAGATACAGTTCATTGAACCTTTTAGGGTTGCCGATCCATAAACGAATGGAAAAATTGGTAAAATAAAATTCTGTTATGTTAATCTGAACTGAGAATAACGACAATAATAAAAAAATAATTAAAAAAGGTCTTAGCCTAAGGCTACATACGTCCCAATCCGATAGGTACTATAGTTACTAACTGTGATGGCATCTGATGTTAGATTGATACCTACATTTGTTAATTATAATTATTTTTGACAACTGCTCAATTATTCAATACTCCTCTTAAACAAACATACCAATATTAAAACTACATCTCTTACTGCAGCTAAAGGAAAATTCATCTTATTGAAACAAAATGACAATTAAACATATTTCTATTACATTAATATTCAATGTTTTTCTATAACTTAAAACAGGCTTTTTAAAAATAAACCGAGTCCTTTATTTTAATATAATCTAGAGTCCTTTCAACACATTTTGACACAAGTTATTTGTCTTTAATAAATCTATAAACAACACATCCATCGACCTCATTTGCAAAGCAAATCCGAAATATAAAAGTCAATACATATTAAAACTATTTTGCTCTATAACAATTAATACACAAGCTATTTTGATTAAAATTCATCATTAGCATAAGAAATTTTAATCACAAAATGATATATTAGACTTATTTTAGCGTTCTATCGATTAAAATTTCAATTTATTAATTATGGTGTGTCATTCTTCGGTTTTATGAATAAATATTAGGCCTATTAACATTCGCGTTTAAGTCTTCTTAAGTTGCTGACAATATTAATACCCACAGTAACTATTTTACTTTCCAATGGATGTTACATCGTAGATGCTTTTTAATTCATGTAAAATATTCATAGACGTTCCCACAATATGTAAGGATTTCCTGTCTTCATTTAGACAGTTATGTACATTCAACTAATATTTCGTGTAAAATGACACCGTAATTTATACACGGAATGGCCTTATACATATTCATCAAAGTAGAACGAACTAAAATATTGAGATATCGATAAATTATTATTAATACATACATAAAGGAAGTTCTTCATCATTGGATTATTTTATAGCAATTGTTACAAGCCATTTCCTAAATCTATTAGTCGTCTGTCACAGGGTTTTTTCACGCGCAAGTGTCACTCAGTTGCGCCGGCGACCCAGAGGTCACCGACCGAGCTAGTGATGCCGAACAATTTGCATATTAATCGATTCGATAACTTACGTTTAGTCGACAAATTTACATGATTCGTGAGAACCTATGCTCTCGGCGTGAACTTATGTTATATTAATGAATTGTTCATGATTTGATGTGCGGTCGGTGAACTCGTGTCAATTCTAATTATCCACGCTTCATAGGCGTCCAGGCGCCTTCAAATATTCTATATTGACACACGCCGACGCGGGAAGCCACCTCCGATCGTAAATCTTTGGTTTTATTAGACATTATGATATTGGTACCAAACAAAATACGCTTTTCTATCAAGTAGCACAGATACAGAAATTAATTTATTATTGGTGTTAATTAAAACGTCTTCAAAGAGAAACTTAAAAAAACTCCATTTTAGTTCTTTGCGGTTTTTATCTCGATTTTTTGTGTTTACATAGCATTACAGCTACATTTAAATTTTCTCCATTCCCATAACACTGTTTTATACAATCCGATCAAGAAATTCTTAATTACTTACATAATATTTTAATAAAATAATGATTTCTAATATCATTTTAGTTTTATTGGTAGTTAAGTTATTACCGATAATCACTTTTATGAGACACGCAATATTCTATTTCACTGAGCTTATTCAACAAATTTGTATTGCAATTAAGATATTAAAACCACATAAATAGTTTTAGTATGATAGAGTAATATATGAAAATTAAAATCTACCTTGATGACTTAATTTTAAATTAACTTTATATAATCAATAATTCTACATTATCACAATTTTCCTGAACAAGGAAGGAATCACTATAAGAAATAATGAATTTATATTTTTACCAGCTATTTCCACCGTATGAATGGGTTCGGCGTGGAGACTCGAGCGGCGGCGTCGCCGTCGACGCAGGCAGACGCTACCGACGCGCCTCTCGGCGGACTTTTTACAAAACTAGCAAAGCAACAAGGGGGTCCGCCGCGGCTACCCGCTTTCCCTGTCATGCTGGACATGAGCTCCACAAAGGTAAAAATAGAATTAATATATTAAAATACTTGCATCATTTTATAAAACTATATAGTAAATATTACAGAACTGGAGCATTTGTTTAAAGAAAACCAAAAAAGGTTCGATTCCTCATTTCTTTATTTATGAGGTATACATATTTGTATTAACGCAGATATTTTTCTTTATGTGTAATTAAGATATGGATATTTTATGATTTATATTTTATAGTATCTTTATGTATCTTTGTTGCAAATTAAAAATATTGTAAAAAAAACACCAATTTTTTAACTGACGTCACAAAAGAAGGTGCCTACAATTCAAATGTGTATATGTGAAAATTCACCATAAATGCTGAACTTCAGAAGGTTTTCCTGCGGTATTGAGGAATTAGGGTTAGATCGCTTGTGTCCAGCTTAAACACAGATTATTTTGAAGGTTACAGGTCGTTATACAAATCTGGATGCTATTTTAGTTCATATTTGTAAGCAATAAAATGTATTTTATACGTGATTTATAATGTTTTATGATTTCATAATGTTTTGGTCAACACCTCATGCAGAGTGGCATTACACAATAATTTGAAACAAAATTTTCTCCTTCACAAATTTGAACAGATTCTTTGTTAATAATTAAATTGAAGTCATTACTTAACAAGGTGCGTTACTTGCAAGGTTACTGCCCCTATGAAATAATTTACGGTCAGCTAAGTTTTTGTTTCAAAAGAGCACATTTGAAATTCATATTAATTATAAAATGTACAATGCTCACTGACCTTCCTGCTTTAATTACACATCATGCACCGTTTCATAGTTCACGGCTGTGATTAAAATGTCTCGAACGCTCGTAAAATTCATAAAAATTTATCGCGTAAAACATCTTCATTGAACGTGCCTCGTTTATGTTAATTTTTACCTTTGAAATTATAGTCCGTTTCCTTTGCAGCAATAATGAAGGCAATTAAATCTGATAAGGCACACGACCTTTACACTTCCTTCGCTAGCTAGATAACTCGGAGAGAGTGTTAATTGCACAGAGGCTGTTACCGTTTGGCATGCGCGCACAATCGGCAGGGTAATAGTGCTGCCCCGCCCACTCGACGCTCGGCAGCGAACCGTCTCGACTCTCGACTGTAAAAGGAACTGGAGCTGCACTAATTGGCAGCGGCACGCGCCGCGCATGCGCCGAGCGCCCCGCGACACGCTAGTGATGGGATGTGAAATCGAACCACCGCTTGACTTTGAAATTAGTTGACTTTTTTGCACACGAGTGCAGAGGCACGCGGATATTGCACTCGTTACAGTTATCTGATTTCGCGTTTCACCTTAAAGTCGCACTCATCTTCCGTTCTCAAGCTATGGCTTGTCTGTCGATATCAGCTGTATTTCACATTACACTACTCGGTCCATTGTAATGGATTTATTACAATCCACGACAAGTTGACACTTTGGACACTCAAGTCGCAAACTAGCCCGTAAATAACCATTTAAATTTATTTTGCACCCATGGTTAGAAACAGGAGCAAAGCAGAAATAAATCTTGTTATTTATGAAGGTGGCTCTTTACTCCAGCAGATACGCGTGAAGCGCACGCGCATTCGCACTATGTTGCCATGTTCATTTCACGCGCGCGCGCCTCCGTCTGAATTTTATTCAGAATTACCCTGTATTCGCCTTTTTTACTTCTTAAGGCAATTAAAAAAGATAGATTGCAATTTGACCCGCGGGCGGCGAGCGTGACGATTCAGAACGTTATTATGATGAATGCTCGCCACTTACGATCCGAGAGCGCTCTCGATCAGATAATAGCTTGCTGGCTCGCCTTTCGTGTTTGCTTAACATGGTACTCTATGCCACTTGATGGGCTCCTGAGTAATTGAGTTTTTAAATGCCAAACCGTGTTTGTTGTACACGTTTTGTTTGGATGCCTCAAGTTATTGTTATCGTGACTAGTAATTTATCTAGCCGATACTTTAGACAGTATCTAAAAATATCTTTCTTTTTAAATAATGCTCGTTTATACATGATTCGAATACCTTTGAACGTTTACTTTTGCTTTACATATTATAGAATGTGAAGAATTTCATAAAAGAGTAATTGTAGTAATTCATTAGAAATACTTCGAACGAAAGCATATTGTTAAAAAAAGGACTTGAAATTCTTTTATATATGCAAAATAGTTTCATCTTTTCGAAAATTATATTAAAAATAACTGAAATAGGACACTGTTGAGTTATGATTCAGATTAAATAAATACTGTAACGTCCGCATACTTAACTTCATTTTTGTTTTTTTGATAACAAGTTAACATAAATTATATAACGTCAATACTAAAATATAATGAATTACGTTCTATTTTGACTTCGTAAAAAGGCACCAATTTTATTCTAATATTAATTTAAACTGAAATTTGGCAAGATGTACTAATTTCAATAATAAGTTCAATTTGAAAATCAAAGAGTTTCAGTCCTTACCTCCGCTTATATAATTCTCTCACTCATAATACCTTTAAATACTTTATCGTAATAATTTCTCATATTCTTAATCATTTTTATCCATTTAATAAGTCAAGGAGGAAAGAAAAGGTCGATGGTGCAGTGGTAAGCGCGCTCGATCAGCGATACGGCTGTTAAGCAACTCTCGCAAGGGTCAGTCATAAGATGGGTGACCAAAAACCTTCCGTGTTTTGGAAGGCACGTTATACCGTTGGTCCAAGCTGCATCTGCAGTCGTTAACATCTGTCCACACTGGACCCGCATGGTGGGTCATGGCCCATTCTCCTTATACGATTTGAAGCGATTCCACCCATAGAGAAGGCCTGAGCCTCTGCAAGGTGGGGATATTAATAAGCTGCTGATAAAGAATAGAGAAATAATAACATGCTTATTCCAGACTCTGTTGGCGATATCGCGAGTGGGTCGCGGAGGACGTTCACGACGCAAACGCGTCGGCGCCGGCGCACCAGAGCATTCGCCGCTGGATCTCTCTGCTGCAGGGGAAAGTGCAGCCAAACGGGCGAGACTCTCTGCGAGTCCGAGCACTAGGAGCGACAGTGATGAACGAGATAGAGTATCAAATGATGGTCAGTATTTCCCCGAAAACGGAATTTCGTAAATTTTTGAAATGCTGACACCAATTGCCTCCATTTTTCGCAAATTTATAATGCAACGGAGGTAAGACACTGTCTCTAATGTACAGATAATCTCCACGAGTATGATTGTAATCAAATTATAAGAACGATTCGAAATTTCCCGTATTATCGTCCGGGGATAAATTGGGTATCCCTATCCTATCCTATAATAGGTATCCTTGTGATATTTGGATTCATTACAAATACGCCACGTAGTAAATGAAATAACCAGTATTGGAATCAGAACTGACATCAATTATAATTATGATTAATTCATATTTTATTGATTGTGTACCTATGTCACAAGCTTAAACTGAGAAATACTCCACAATATTCCTCGCACGTCCACGTCAACAAATACCTATAACAGAAATTGATAACTATAATTGTGTGTGTTAATGGATATGTATGTGTCAATAAAAAAGATATCGATCACTCAGTAATATTGAAGATTATATAGCAATACCGAATTTGGGGTTCGATACCTACTTGGCATAGTCATTTTTTTCCGTTCCGTTTTAACATAATATTAAAACTGTATTAAAAATTCCGCATTCGTTCATTGGAATCCAAGCTAACATAAAACAATGTATACAATAAAACATTATTGGTTCCTACATTCAAACAGCAATAAGATATCATTTTGTGAATTTACTCCAAATTATCAATTATGCAATTAAAAAGTCACTGAAATTCTAAAACCGACTAACTTATGTGATTTCTTTATGTAACTTTGAATGCTTATTAAACTTAACAATAAAAACTATTTTCGGCATTTACAAAAGCAATCAATTCCCAATATCGTCTACTTGAGTAATTAAAATAAATAACTATGAAATAATTGCTGATTCGAAACAGGTCAAATTCTTTTTTTTTTCTTAGATCGGAGTGAGGCGAGAGGTGATTGCCTCTGTGCGGAAGCGAGAGCTCGACTGTCAGCGTGGACAGTCGATGACGTATGTGACTTTGTCACCTCAATCGATATTGCCTCTGAATATGCTTCGGTGAGTGAACAACACTATAGCGTATAATTTTTTTTTTTCTAGGTAAACGAAGCAAGCGATTAAAAAAATACTAACTTCTACCTTTTGGAAGTAAGGAGAGACTTCCCATATTCTTAGTGAATGATTATACACCTAAGATTGCGGGTTAAAGTTATAAATTTTATTGCGTATTGCTCTAATAAGCTAGTTCACAGTTGATAAGTCGTAAATAAGGCTACACCTGTTGTCGCCAATTAATGCTTCGAACATAAAATCCACTACAAACATAATAACCAACTTTTCAATGTCCATTAACAACTTTCATCGGAAGCCGATCACGTCCAATCATAATAATAACGCCCAATAACTCGAAACAAATTCTTTTACGAATTTCGTCGCATAGGGCTGTGATCATTTTTTATTATTCTATCAAAATAATTAAACTTTTTTATTTTAGAATTATACCGTTTTTTATTATGATTTTGTCGTACAAAATTTACTGAATCTTAATATTTTCTTAATTTATAAGAGCTAAAATTCTATAACAGAAACATTAAATTATAATTTAATAAAAAAGCTTGTAGGTCTTCTATTTAAGTTCACTGTTCGGATTTTACTTTCAAAAATATATTTAAACTTAAATTATACTATCTTGGATATCATAATAACTGAAGTATCATAACTATTATTTTAGTGAAAATACTTGAATAAAAAAAACAGCTCTGGTAAAAGATTTCTTGTCTGAGAGAACTAGGAGTACGAATTCGTGAAGTGCCAACCCTAATAAAACAACAATGTCTTCATTCGGCCGAGATGTGCGTAGTGAACACGTCATTCGTTGCCGGCCTCTGAGGTGATTACGAGTAATCACTCACTGTTTCTACACCTCACATGCCGCCTCCGACGCATCATTGTCACGGTTCTTTTTATTACATTAATGTGTTTCACTGTGAGATTTCTTTAGCGGTCCGTTCGTTTTGGTGTAAAAAAAAATATATAAGCTATAAGTAACGTAAGAGTCTACCGATATTTTGCTTTAAATATTAACTAATATTAAACTAAAAATATTTCATATGCTACAATTTTGTTATAACGTCTACATGTTCCAAACAATCCAGTACCTACGATAATAATATTACAATAGATAGCCCTCCGTAGATTTACAAACCGATGGCATAGAGTTTCGACTTTCATAAGTGCTTGTGATAGCCTTTATTGAATAAATGGTTTTAATTTGATTTGATATAATATCTCCGAAATCCTAAGTTCGATTCTCAGTCGAACCAATTTAGAAAATTAACTCTTCTGTTTTGCTTGAGTCTGAGTGTTTTCAGATTTCCATAAACAAGTGATTTAGCTACTTAATTTAAGATTTAAGTATCTGTCCAATATCAATTTCTTAAAAATAAATATCGGTATTGCAACTTCATCTCGCAATAAATTGTTTAAAAACTGACGAGTTCCAAATTATAAGTTAACTATTATTGATGACATCTATTGACTCTAATCAATCACTAAACAATAAAAAAACATTTTAAAATAATTAACTAATTTCGCAGTTGAATTAGTTTTGGTTAAAATATATTATATATAATCATTACAATAATATATAGTTTACTATCGTAATCTACAGCGCTCGATTTCTTTATCATTTTCACCACTTCTGATTAATTTTAATTGCTCGTAGAGAAAGTAATGGATAGTTAATAACGCAAGATTTATATTATAGTTTTAGTTTTTGAACGGCCTCTTTCAAGTTCCATTATTATAGTATAAAATTACGATGAAAAATCGACTTCACTAATTAAACGAATGTAACAGACGGATTATACTATATATGCTTTAGTGTAGTGAAATGATATTGATCTTAACATAGTACCTAGAGAAGATTTCAATCGAAATGTTAATTAATCCTTAATTCATATCACAGATAATTTATAAATGTATCTTTTTATTAAGGCGGAATGTAACAGTTTCATTCCGTTTCCCTTTTAATTCATGGCCTTAGTGTTCTATTTTAATTCAATAAATATTTAATCTCCAAGTAACATTATTTTGTATAATTAAGGCGAAAGCTAACGGGAATAAGGATTTTTAATGAGACGATGGTATACAAAACATACTAGAGACAAAAACAAACAGCAAAATCAAAAGGAAAAGAATCTTAATATAAAAATATAAAACTTATAAAAAGAATGGTATCTTTCTAGGCAGTCACCAGTAGGTATAAGGCGTTCAGGTTGAACGAACGTGATATTTTTTTATCTTGTAACACACTTAAACACACATTCATTATTTATACAAAGTTAACCACTCTGAGAATTGTCATATTCATTTAAGACAAGTTTTATGGAAAACATCAGTCACTAAATGACATGAATGATATGATGTGATTATATAGTACAATCAATCAGTCCATTACTTAGTTCCATTTATACACCCCATCACTAAAACTGTCATATCTCAATATTTGTTTACATCTTTCGCCTCTTAAAATGGAACGGCGTACTTATGTACATAGTACCGAATTTTGCTACTTGGTGTTTTCCACTTATTACTCTTAAAGTATATTTTTTTCATTTGACCTAGTTTTCCGATTACCATTATTAGTCTCAATTAAACAGTGATTCAACCTCAACGTTTATCATTAAGCATATCCTAATTCTAATAATTATTTTATACCCATTATAGTTGTTATAAAAACTAACTTTATAGCCGTTAAATTGCTTAGCTATATGATTTTATTGATATGTAACGCAACTGGTCTAATTAATGTTTTAATTATCGTTGTGTGCCCGTTACATGTTCGTTGCATTCATTCATATTCACAAAATCTCTAATATTATATACTAATATGAACATCTAGTTCAATAACAACAGCCAGTTAAAAAAACTGCTTTCAATTCATTGGTACCTGAGGGGAACGGCATTTCTCTTATTTTTATCATTTGATCTTTCATTGAATCACAGCTATTATAATATTAAATAACCATTATAACCGAAAACATAAGACATAAGTAGATTTTGTCATCTTATTACTCTGACAAAACAAAACGAAAACGCATTCATTTTAAAATAGCTGTTTAAACAGAAAACAGTTACAAGTTCCCACAGATATGTAAACAGAATCTGCCATCGTTAACTTGGTATATTATTAGAATAAACAATGCGCGCTAGATGATTACCTGGAGTCCGATATCGAATTAAATCTAAACCGTAAACCAGTCGGTTGTCTCATATAAATGCATTAGAGGTGTCCTCGACAAATCTCACGAGTTTTATAATCTGTTGTCTGCGATATTGGTTTACGTTAACCGCTATTATACGACACTACGTAGCAATAAAAAACGTTCTATATTGAAAATTATCAAGTCCTTTGACTGCTACTGCGAAATTATTACTATTACAAGCTGAGATAATAATTATAAGAGTTACATCCGACTTTAGAATTAACAGGGAAACAGATAATCCGAGCGAAAATTTTTTTCGTCTTGTTTCATTAATCTGTTTTATAATTGTTGATTAATATACTCATGAATACTTATTTCTTATATTTTCAAGCGCACTGCTTTACTAAGTGGACAAAAAACCTGTATAAGATCCGAAACTCGTATAGGACTCGAATAATTATGAAAGTGGAAAATCTACGACATGAGACATTATTTTTAATTAGAATTTAATAAGTTGACGAATAGTTGATACAATAAATTGATTCAAATAGTTTTAAAAGTGTCACTTAAAAATATATGAAGCTTATATTTAAAATCATAAAAAAAAAGTCAAGAGCCAAAACAAGTTTCCTTGATTTATAACAAAGTGAATTATATCAAAAACAATCAACTGCTAATATAATACATCATTAAAGAAGTAAAAAACATATAATGTAAACATCTATAAAAAAATGTGAAATGTTTCGAATTAGCTGATGTACTCTGAAACTCGTGCTTTTACCTGTTTAATAGCAAACGACTCCAAAATATAACACCAATTAGTTAGATTAAAATTCCAACTGCACCTATTATACAGCACCGGTAACTGAGTAGACGTACTGTAAAACAGTTAAAGAGGCAATCAAAATGTGATACGACTCACTTCGATAGTAACATTGTATTAATAATTGTTATGTAATTTCTCTTGTTTAAAAAGCACGCGAACAGTAACCGGTGCCGTTGTCGTTCGTTTAACTTTGTAATTAAAACTCTTTTAAAGCATCAACATGTTTTATATGCTCGTTTTGTTGTCTCTATGTTGACATGCTAATGTCGCCGACTCGTGACAGCCCTGCGTTTCTGCAACATGTCAGCTATAATATAATACGATATGCTTTTTGTTTTTCAAGCAAAATATTTGTCCAGGTTAGTTTATTGGTGTTATTTTTAAGCTTTTCTCGGTGTAGATATTTTAATTAAACAATTAAAGTTAACTGTTTAAAGCGAATATTAATTTATCTTTACACTAGCTTTTTAGAACAACTCTACACAGATAAGATTAAGGTATCCATTATACTCCATACCAATACCTAATAGTGTTTGCTCATAGTTTATAAAAATTATGTACCCAATTTAGTTACAACAAACAAAAATAGCAGTACGATGATGCATTGGTCAATGCGCTTGGTCTTCGAATCGGTTGCTAAGGAACTTTCGCAAGGGCCGGCCATAAGATTGGTGACCAAAAATTTATTATCTGTGGCTCTTCCGTGCTTTGAAAATTCACCGATCCGCACTGAGCCCGTATAGTGGGTCATGAACCATTCAACCTATTCGATTTGATTCTATCCATAGGGAAAGCCTATGCCCCAACAATGAGGACAATAATAGATAGGTGATGAAAAAACCGTAACATCAAAACAGTAACAGTGAATATAAGTGTAGTGAATATTTACTGTATATTTTACGCAGATTAAGATAATCGCCGGTGATTATCATTTTACACAGCTATCGATGTCCAACGCGAATCCTATCATTGTAAAAGGGATGCCATAAATTATAAAGTAGTTAACAGAAATTACGAGCCGCGAT